TGCATAAAAAATTATTTTTAAAAGTTTTTGTCAAATATTTTATAATAAAGATTTAATGGCGGGGACCTCATGTCCCCGTGGTCCACATTTTGTGAACCCTACTTGCTATACCTCATAAGCAAGCACCGGAAAAGACAACCTGTCCTCCCCTGGAATCGAACCCGGGTGGGCACGCCCAAGGCAAGGCATTTACGGAAGGAGGTGGCCACTAGGCCAAGGCCTAATGTGTTTTTATGAAAAACAATAATGATTTTATTTTTGAATAAAATATAAATTTGAAGATATCATAAAAATTTTAAAAAATATATATCCTAATTTTATTTTAGATTTTTTATATTTAAGATGAGATGTTTATCCTGTATTTGATTGTGTTTATCTGCAGTTAGTTACACGAATTCATATATGAGATGAAATCGTTTAGGGATGAACATGTTTAAGAGTTTTTAAGAGTTTTAGTCAAATGTTTTATAAGATAGTATAAATTAAGGAAAAAGTTCAAAAAAACCCAATAAATTATCTCATTTTGAATGATTAAGTACCTAAACTTTTTTTTGTATGTAAAAACCATTTTTTTAAAGATTTCAATACACTTTAAAAAAACTTATATATAAAATAATATTAATTTAATTTCATTGGTGGGATGAATAAAAAACTAATTTCTCTCTTCTCTAATAAAAGTTTTAGAGAATTCTCAGTATTTGAAGTTTTTTTTATATTTCTCTAATTTAGAGAATAATATAGAATATCTGTTGGAGCCATAGAAAATAAAAACCCATTTTAGAGAATCTATTCAAGTGGGTCTTAGAACATCTCCAACAACAGTTCTATGATTTTTTTCTAAAATAGAGAACCAAAACATAGATTTTCTAAAATAAATTACATTCTAACATATTCTTTATTTTAACATTAATTATATTATTATCTAATTTATTATCCCAATACATTTTTTTTAAAACTTTTTGTAAAAATTATTAACTCAATTCCATTTTTGGAATTGAATAAAATAATCATTTTCTCTCTTCCACCATCAAGTTTTAAAAAATTCTTTATATTTAGAGTTTTCTACATTATTTTCTATTTTAGAGAAGAAGATAGCAAAGCTATTGGACTATTTTAGAAAATAAAAATTCACATTTTCATATTTTAGAGAAGCTATTGGAGATGTTATAAAACCGACTTCAATAGAGTCTTTAAAATATATAAAATAGAGTTTTTATTTTCTATGGTTCCAACAGATTTACTGTTTTAAAGAAAATCAACTTTTTGTTTTTTATAATATTATCTAAAATAGAGTATTCTCTAAAACTTGAAGTTAAGAAAGAGAATTGATTATTTTATTTAATCACACCAATTATGGATAAATTGCATGAAAAGGTTAAAGTAATTTTTAACTTGATTCATATTTTGGTAATGTATTTTTAAAACTTTCATTTTGGTATCTAAGATGTAAAATTTTAAACATTTAAGTACTCGTGTAATCGGTTGAAGTATTAACCGGCTACCATGCTGAAGTGGGTACTAATATAATATCCAACTCAGTATTATTTGTTGAAGCATTAATCGAATACCATATTAACCGAGACAAGATAGATTTAGATTGGAATGAAATTCATGAGAATCCAATCCAACAAAGCTAACGAAGATAGTCTTTAAAGTAAAACGACCCATAAATCAGTAACCATCATCTCCTCCACCCTGATTCCCTCTTTCTTTTCCTTTCCTTTCCCCAATATGTTCTTCTTCCTTGCTCTCTCGATTCCGTTGTAATCCTCGATTCTGTTTCAGATGGGTACCGGTGGCAAACACCGATGGAGGTTCAGTCTTCTCCGATCACCCTCCAATCTCAAAACCCCACCACCACCACCACCGCCGCCGCCGGAGTTCATCTGTCCCATTTCTGGCGACCTCATGGCCGACCCTGTAATTGTTTCATCTGGACAAACCTTCGAACGTAATTGTGTTCTTGCTTGTATTTCCCTCTCCTTCAAACCCTCCACCCTCCCCACCACCGTCGATTTCACCACCGTCATCCCTAATCTCGCTCTCAAATCCGCCATTATCAACTGGTGTCGAACCAATTCCTTCTCACCAATCCCTCAACCCCTTGATATCCGTTCCGCTTTGAACATCGTCCAAGCGTTGATGAACGATTCCCCTAAATTTCCACCTCGATTGGATCGTTTGTCGAGTTGTTTATCGTCGACGTCGGACGAATCGGTGGTGGCCACCGCCGTTGATTCGTGTTCTTCTACCCCTCTTCCGTTGCTAACCACTCGTCCTTTCTGTTATTCGTCTTCTTCGTCCTCCGAAATCGAGAATCCAGTTGAAGAAGATGAGGAGATCATTTGTAAGCTTAGAAGTGGTTTAATGGCGGATCAGGAGGACGCCGCCGTGACGTTGAGGAAGATAACACGAACTAAGCAGGATGCTCGGATCTATCTGTGTACGCCGAGATTAATGGCGGCTCTCCGCCATTTGATTGTTTCGAGATACTCCGCCGTTCAAGTGAATTCCACGGCGGCGTTGGTGAATTTATCGTTGGAGAATGGTAATAAAGTGAAGATCGTGAGATCTGGAATCGTTCCGCCTTTGATCGACGTTTTGAGAGGTGGTTTCCCGGAGGCTCAAGACCACGCCGCCGGCGCGTTGTTTAGCTTGGCTCTCGACGACCAAAACAAAACCGCTATTGGCGTTCTCGGCGCATTGCCGCCGTTACTCCAGGCTCTCCGCGCCGGCTCCGACAGGTCCCGCCATGACTCCGCCTTGGCTCTATACCACTTATCTCTCGTTCAAAGCAACCGAGCCAAGCTCGTAAAGCTTGGCTCGGTCCCGTTGTTTCTAAACATGCTCAAATCGGGTAATATGACGGGTCGGGTCATGTTGGTTCTCTGCAACTTGGCCGGAAGTGTCGAAGGTCGGGCAGCGATGTTGGACGGCGGTGCCGTCGAGTGCTTACTCGGGATGGTGAGTCGCGCCGAGTTCGATTCCGATTCAACTCGGGAATGTTGTTTAGGAGCTCTATATGGACTGAGTCAAGGCGGGTTGAGGTTCAAAGGGCTGGCGAAGGAAGCCGGCGCGGAGGAGGTGCTACTCAGGGAGGAGGAGACGGCGCCGGAGAGATGCAAAGAGAAGGCGAAGAAGATATTAGAGGTTATGCGGCAGAAATACGAGGAGGAGACGGTGGATTGGGAGGCGTTATTGAATTCCGACGAGTTGACTCGGTCACGATTTGAACTCGTTTATGGTAAAGGGTGAAAAAGTGGACTCATAACTGGACAAATGTTTTTTCTTTTTGTGGACAGTTTTTGGGTATTTGTTTTTGTGATGATTTTAATGTATTATTTTGGGCACCCTTTGTTTATGTGTGCATACAAAAAACCTTAGTTTTTGTAAATGAATATTTTCGAACCGATTTTTGCCGGTTTATTCGGTATTGATTATCTCCGACCCAACGTATGGATGGACCAAATAGAGATGCACAAAAAAGCCTAGGCCCAGATATGACCGCGGCTCAGCTCGGTCTGTAAAAGTTCGGGCCTAGGTAGCCAAAATCTAGGTCAGGCCTAAAAGCATGATTAAGCCGAAAGATCTTGAGCATGCCCAGGCCTTGACTCGTCTCGGAAAAGCCCGAGATGAAAAAAAAACACTATTAGGGTAGAAAGAGCGCCAATCGAGTTTTTCTTTCGGTCCCAAAGCCAAGCCCGGCCCGACTTGTGCTTAAATAAGCACGGGCCTTTTTCTTTCTCTTAACACTTGGAGGGCCCGAAGTGAGGCTTTGAAAAGCTCTGGCTTTGTGCATCTCTAGGACCGAATCAAGAAACATATTGGGATTCTCTTTATTGTAGATTTGTTGGGTCCATATCATCTGGTTTTTTTTTTTATTTAGTTGGTAAACTGTGAAACTTGGGCTCAAGTTAGAGCTGTCTCGTCGTAAAAAGAATAAAAATTGCTTCGACATTTCATCAAAACCCTGGTGGAAGTTAAGCTTATATGTGTTGGTACATTGTCTTTTCTTTGTCGCAGTGGAAAACATGGTGGGTTACAAGAATTTGATCCTAGGAATGAAATAATGACTAAAGGGCCTTTGGCCTAGCGGTATGTGAGTCTGTGGTCTCTTAGGAGGTCGGAGATTCAAACCTCACTAAATGTGAAGAGAGTGTGTGAGTTTGTTTGTTGTATATAAATATTATATACTTCAAAAAGTCTACTAGCAATGATAATGATAGAAGAAAAAACTCTTTATCAACTAATTTGGGCATTAAATCGTAACCTAAAGCGTGTTTATTATATAGCCCTACAACACTATATGCATAAAGTTCATCCGTCGAAAATCCGAAACAAGCCCAAAACAAAAATAAAAAATGGAATGTTATCAAAATGTTGTTTGTGAGGCCTTAAACGAGCCCAAAACGCTGAAAACGTTGTTGATCAAAGGTTAAACAATCCAATGAAAAAGCTTTGTTGATATGATCGAATTTACACAAACACGAAAAATGAACTTTTTATTATTGAGTAACAATCCGGATTAAAACTTCAACATATAAACAAACGAGTCTAAAAACAAAAATGCTTGAAAAAAGACGATGGGTCAACCACAAAAACCCAAACGGAAAATGGAAAATTACAAAAAAAATCCCAACACCATAATTAAACAACGTTTTTTTTGCCCAAAAAAATCCCGTACCTAATGCATGCTCCTCGTTCGATATACCGTGTCTGGAACGGAAACCCATAGCAAAAGTTGTGCACGTTTAAACACAACACACCTGTTGGCTCAATAATGGACTTCCAAGAACACTAAGACCTGGTCTTCCAAGAACACTAACCGGTATGATTTTAACTTCCCACCGTTCATGAACTGAGCAAACTCCAAAACACAGGATCCTCCTTTGTGTTGTTCATACCCATTCCACCATTTTATTAAACTGCTTCCCTCCAAGAAAACATCTGACAGTAAAGAGTAGTTCTTTTTATCTCACCCATCATTTTGGTCTCAAACTTCTCCAATTCCTTATTGCGTTCTTGTGGTTCTCGTAGTTAACCCCCTTTCGATCTCCACCTCTTCATGTACCCGTCAAGCCTATCTTCATATCGTTTCATAGGCCCGTAAGCATTGATCATGTTTTTTTTTGTCCTGTTTGCTTCTTTTTGTTTCTTCTCCATTTACTCATCAGCTAAGATTTTCAGTATACCTCTTATCGGGTAAAATTCTAGGTTCTTGTCATGCTTTACCCATAAGGTAAGCGACCTTCGATAAGCACTTATCGGTAAATGATCACTAAAATGTGAGCGCATTAAAATACAAAATTATCGAAAGCCACTACACACATTTTTTAGAGCGTATGAATAGTAGACTTCTGGACGTAAATGCCCTTTTTGTTATATATAAAAAAAAATTAGTGGAAGGAATAAGATCACTTCTCTATTTCTTATGATTCTCAAATGAACCTAATGTTATATAACATTTAAAATATTAAAATTTTAACATTTTAAAAATAAATATCATGACATATTTGTAATAAATGAAAAATTGAACGAAAATAAACATTGGTGAACATTCTTGAATAAGGGTATTTATGGAAAAGATCATGACATATGAACACCTATGAGCACCATATGGTTATGAACAAAAAACGCTCAAACAACTCAACACTGGTTCTCAGAAAATCTCTCGATTTTAAAAAAATCATATGAAATAGCCTTCTATTATTGGAAATGTAAAAGGAAAAAAGAAACCTAGATGTTTGTATGTATGTATGTATGTATGTATGTATGTATGTATGTATGTATGTATGTATGTATGTATTTAGCTTGTGAAAATCAGTTGAATGAGTGCACGGAACCCTGCTGGCGGTCCGTCCCGGTCCACTCTTTGAGACAAGAATGGACCCAGAAGGGTGGGTGCAGGGGGTGGCCGCAAGTGCCACCATATTGTCCATCTGTCATAAGGTAAAAAAATCAGGTTCTTTTAAAATGTGCAACCGTTTTATATGGTACCACGATACGGAAAATTCATAGCGTCGATCCCTACCCCTTCAATTATCGTTGGTTCTATAGTCAACCCTTTTAAATTCGGCTCAAATGTCCACTTGTTCTCTTACTTGTTTTTACTTATTTCTTTCTGTTCAATTTCATTAAAATTTGTTAGCAACGTCCATGAAATTCTAGTTGTGGAATCATGATACTGAAAACATGCCCAATCGTAAATAACTTCACTTGATAAGCTTTCAAAAATACATAAATTATTACGATGTATGAAAATGAAAATGACAGAAAATGAAAATGAGTTCATCTACGGTCAACATTTGATGAAGTGGAAAAGATAGTTACAGATTATCAATTAAAAATGCTGAAAAATAAATAAAACGGACAGTTTAGATCAGAGTTGTATTACTTGTACAAATAAGATATATTGCATTTGAAACATGCTCTATTGCACTAAACATTTTACAGTGTGAACTTTTTATGTGTTTGTGAAACAAAAAATACAACTAAAAAGTTTCATATGCAACAAACACATTGTGAACCGAATACATATAAAACAAACACATTATGAATTCAATAATATATATGAAACAAATATATGTTAATCAATACATTAAATTCTAGTCTTAAATAGAAAAAAAGAAACCCATATGAAACAAAATCTTACGATAATAATTCACAAAATTATCATAATATATGGTTTTTTCGTTTGATTAATACCCCAAAGTAAAACTTTTTAACAATCAACTTGAGTCAAAGAATTATCTGATGAACTGATGATCTAATTCTGATCAAGATCGATTCTAAAGAAATCTTGTTCTATAATTCACAATTCAAATATTTTGATTACTAAAAACAGAATCATTTCTTTGAGAATCCAGATGTTGACTAAGGGGCCGTTTACCAAACTCTTATTTGGGTAAGAGCTTACCGACTCATATTGCCTTACCGGATGAATGCAATAAGGACCAAAATCTATACCTGGTAAGAGCAAGGCAAGGAAAAGAGTGTTATCCGGTAAGTGAGGACGATTGACTCTTAACATGGTAAGCGCTTACCAGGTAAATTGTTGCATACAATGTCGTTTTCGTGAACTAAAATCTTATCAGGTAAGTAAATGATAATGTTGAATATTAACGGTAAGCGCTTACCAGTTAAGTGTTTGGTAAACGGCCCCTAAATGTCAGAGGATATAGTGAAAAATCTCATCCACTTCAAGTAAGAATCCAGACGTTGCCAAAGTCATTATGGTCATACAGGTTTACTTGCTATGACTTCAGATCATTCGTGATCCCTAAAGAATCAGTCGATGTATGTAAACTGATCCAGAAACCCACAATTACCCAAAAAAAGTACAGACTCGTATAAACCAGTTGAAACTTTTGATCATATGAGAGGGGTTCTAGGGAATATAGGCAAACTTTCCATTTAATTTTGTAGGAATTGACTTGGCAATTTCTGGGAATGGTTGTTATCAAATAATGATTATAAAAACATGTTTTCGTGGGACCCCTCTTAACTCGGTTCAAATAGAAAACGTTTTTTTAATATATTTATAATTTTTAATAGATGTCAGTATTAGTCGTAGTTATAAAACTATCTAACTAAAGGCTGTGGTGTAGTAGTCGAGGTCTGTGAGATAATGGTATTTCATGTGTTTTGGGTTCAATTCTAGATGGCTGTAATGATTGTAGTCATTGAGTTTATCTGTTCTCTTGCTAATCCGTTGCTAAAAGGTTTCCTCGCAGATCATTCGCTGAATTTCGTCCCTGATATGTCGCTGATAACATTACCTACGAGCTTTTGATCGATGGACTATCAATGAATCAGTGACAGAAAACCCATTTAGCAACGGATCTGAGAAGGAAATTTCCCTCGCAGATACTCTTCATTTTTTTAGTGTTTGGATAAAGCCCTGGACACCCTTCCATATTGACTCAAATGTTGAAGTGTCTTACATTGAGTTCACTTAAATTTTCCTATAAAATATATATAATGTTTATTTGATGAATAACATTAATTATTTTAGATTAATGACTTAAAATGAATATTAAATATCTGATGAAATTTTGAGTTCTCATATATATATATATATATATATATATATATATATATAGGGTTGGGTTCACGTAAGACCAATGGTTTTTCGTGAGACACGTAAGACCAATTTATGTTCATTGATCAACTTTATAAGTTAATGATCTAAAGGTCTAAAGTTGCACGGTGACAATTTTGTGATTATTGAGAAGTCTCGTGACAATTTTGTGATTATAAATGTTCAGATTGAAGATCTAATATAACGGTTAAGAAATGATCTTATGGATCTCACAAAAAATCATGAATCTTACATGATCCCAAGTCTCTCTCTATGTATATATAATCATAAAGAAAATCTAATTTCAATCATTTTGATAAAAACAATAACTTTATACAATAAAATAGTAGATATGACACATCTAGCAAGAAGGGGTCAAGTTTTGTATCTTTCTCATTTTTATTTATTAAATATAACCAAAAAAAAATCAAGATGTAAAGTTTTAAATATTTAACTATGCGGTTGAAGAATTAACTGGTTATCATATTGATGTGGCGAGTGATTTGACTTATCTTTTGAATTTAAGATTCAATAAAGTTTTATACTGATTTGAATACCACACCACTCACTATATCAACATGATAACCAGTTTATACTTCAACCAGTTACCCGGATTTGGATAAAAACATTATTTTAATGTACGGATTTGGATTGAAGTTGCTCTCACGAAAAAATCAACACCTTTTGGTCATTATAAAAAGGGAAAAGTACAATAAAAACCAATGGATTTTTTTGATTGGAATGATTAAGTCTTTGGACTTTTTTTTGGAACAAATAAATCCTTGTACATTCCAAAACATGTTAAATAAGTCATTGGACAATTTTTTGGAACAAATAAGTCATTGGACATTTCAAAATATGTTAAATAAGTCCTTGGACAATTTTTGGAATAAATAAGTCATTGAACATTTCAAAGAATGTTAAATAACTTCTTGGACAATTTTTGGAACAAATAAGTCCTTGAACAATCCAAAACATGTTAAATAACTTCTTGAACTTTTATAAAACATGTTGGATACATTCTTATGACTTGTATAACTAGTTATGACTAGTTATAAAACATGTTGGATACATTCTTATGACTTATACAACTAGTTAAAGTGGTAAAATAGTGAAAAAATCCGGAAAAAACCTCAATAAACATTCATATTTTGAACGATTAAATTAAATAATTTAATAATTTTTTTTATAAGATTAAACAATGAAATTGATGAATAAAAATAGTTTGTACCAACTATACAAATATAAATGGTTTACGTTTCTCCCCTCTCTCTCTATATATATATATTTCCATCATCATATCATCAATCTACAAACCTACCAAAAAACGAATCTTGAAAAGCTTCATTTTATCATCTTCAACATCATAGAAAGAAGATGACGCAAGCCATGTAACCTCCATTTTCATCCATCTTAAACCTCATTTCTTCAATCTCTTTTAATGGAGTTTCAACTTTCTTGATCATATATATATATATATATATATATATTGGTGTTTTAATGGAGCTATAATTCTTTTGATTCTGGAAAAAACTTGCAGGTTTTGCAGTGAAGTTGAAGTGGGTGGTTTTGTGGGCAGTATCGATGTTGTTCCAGAGGCTTTTCGTGCAGTTTCAGAGACTTCGTCTTCTTCTTCAAGTTATGGATTCCATACGACTTCTTCTGGGATACAGATTTTGGCTTTTAACTGCTCCATTGATTATAGAAATCGGTTTCTGAGTGGAGGGTTTGATTTGGTTTCATCTGAAACTTTCAAAGTGGTTGACTTTATTGGGACGAAAGTCAACCCATCATTCTTCATTAGCGAAGTTGCTGTTGAGCTGTTTGAGAGTCTGCCATTGGAGCTCAAACAGCTTAAAGATGAGGTATATTATCCTTTTCTCTTTTCTTGCAGATCTGGAAATCAAGATATTTCTTCTTCAACAAGTGGAATATGCTTATTTACATTATTCTTTTATATATATATATATATATATATATATATATATATATAAAAGAATAATGTAAATAAGCAGTATTCC